TTCCCATTCTTATAGATAAGTACTTATTTTCTATGATAAACAATACATTGTAATTCCTGATTCAAGGCTAATTAATAATAATTAATTGTCTTTATTTATTACGATTTCTGATTTTTACTTGATATTATACTTATTAATAGTTTTGTATTTAAATGTTTATCAGGATCAGATTATAGCTATCTTTTTTCTTCAATCTATTGCTAAGATTTTGTTTGGAAGAGTTATTTAATTAAATTTATCATTTACCTAAATTTAAAATAATTAAATAGTTAATTGAAATATTAATTTTTCTTTTGATTTTCAATTTATATATTTTAGCATGAATAACCAAATCATAATGTTGAATTATCAAATCACGCATAATTTTTGACAAAGTAATGTATCCAAATGATGATATATATCTTTTAGTACAACCTTGTTGATGGAGATTAATTTAATTAGCCTTTATCTGTCTAGGAAAACTATTTAAATTAGCTAATTGTTATTTTGAACCATTGAGCCTATTTAAAGCATGAAATTTATGATTCATTTAAATAATTTGCTTTAGTATTAATGATTGTTTTATCCAAAAAATATCACTTTTTAAATTTAGTTAAGAAGTTCAATATTTTACTTTTATTAGAGTTTTCTTTAAATAGACTTTTTGTAATTTGATATTCTACAATAGTAGCATCATTGTAAATATTAAGAAAATGGATTATTATAATAATATTTAGATGTTTTAAAGAGATATTGTGTTTTTTCTGTAATTTTTTCTTTTGACTTTGAAGAAATAATTACAAGTATCTAAAAATTGCTTGGCCTATAGGCCAGTTTACCCTGCTAAAGAAAATTAAGCCTGCCTGAAAAAAATTAAATGGTTTATAATAATTAAACCCCCATCGAAAACCAAAAAAATTGAAAACCGAGTGAATCATCTTTATGTCCTTTGATGGACTAAAATTATATTTTAAGTTGTAATAAAAATAATATATTTTTTTCAGTTTCGATATGTAAATTTGAAAATTGAAGAAAAAATTTTTTAGGATCATTCTATCTTTTTTGACTAGGCTAGTTTAAAGCATACTTTCTTTAAAAAAATAAAATTAAATGAAAGAGAAGTAATTTATCCTTGTAGAGAAATTTTTTTATTTAAAAAAAAACTTTCTAAAGGATCTTGAAGAAGCTAACAATTAGGACGATATCCTTGGTGATAAAAGTGGAAGAATGAGAGAAAGTATTGTAAAAAAACTGACAAAAGCTAAGTAGTTAAGTCAAGAATAAATATGGACGGGTTATCAAGGATGATGGAATTCGACTGCAAACCTTTAATTTCTAGGACAGCTCCAAGTTGGCCTTGATCAGAGCTATGGAGTGTGATTTTTGGGCGAGAGCAAGAGAAACGGGCCTTGAATAATGATAAGCTCAAAAGATATCTGGCTTGCGATACTGTGATAAAGTTTCTAAAAAAGTTGTAATAGAAAGAGGCCTTTTCCATTAAATATTTTAACATAAAAAGGTCTCAGAAAATTGATAAATGCATAATAAATAAACAAAAATGCATGAAGACAGACGAATGCATATTCTTTCTGCATTGTCCAAAAATTTATTTAATTATTTATAAAGTCAATGAATAACAGTTTAGTATACATATTATAGCATTCCTTTTTATGACTGTAATACAAAAAAAAAACAAGAAAGAAAATAACATTTTTATGTTTTATGTATTCTCAAAATAATCACAATTACTAATTTTAAATTTAAATATCACTTTTCAAAATACAAGACCTCTACCTTTAAATAATTTTAGCAAATCTTCTTTCAAAGTTGTAATGTAATGTCCTTAAAATATTAAAGCTCTATTAGCTAATAAATATGGATATTAAGCAATAACAAGAGCTGGTTTAACAGGATTATCTTAATCAAAATAACTATAAATACCACTTTCTTATAGAAAATTGTTTTAAATTAGAGGAAATTTAAATTATGCTACAACATTGTTGTAATTATAATCTTCAGAGTCAATTAATTGATCTTTTTCAACATCCCATAACAAGATAGATACATTATTACTATCTACCATCAGGAGAGAAGGATAATTAGCGGACTGATTCACTATTCCACTCCAATTTGGTTTTTTATTAACCTGTTTAAATATCCCATAAAAGAATTGAACTATCACTACTACCAGATGTAAAGTAATACCATCAGGAGAGAAGCATACTATCAAGACAGTTCCCCTATGACCACCCAATATGGATTTTTATTAACCTGTCTAAACATCCCATAAACGAATTGAGCTATCACTACTTCCAGATGCTAAAGTAGAACCATCCAAAGAGAAGCATAATGAATTAATATAGCTACTATGACCATTCAATTTGGCTTTTTTTTATCCTGTCAATGCATCCCATAAACGGGTAAAATTATCATTATAACAAGATGCTAGAGTAGTACCATCAGGAGAGAAGCATGCTTACCACCCTGTTCCACTATGGGCATCCTATGCTCTGATTTATCCTTTTTCAATATCCCATAAACGGACAGACTTATCAACACTACCAGATGCTAAAGTAGTCCCATCAGGAGAGAAGCACACTGAATCC